CAATTTCCTGTCCCATCACAATTACAGGCTAAAGATTGGAATAATGAGGAGCATGATCATCCGAAGCCTATGATTAACGGATGTAGAATTCTGGAACGAGAAGCTGGACAAATTGACGAGGATATTCCTCGGCGATGGCTACCCTAGCCAAGTGATACAGCGAAACATACGGGCTGTGAAAAGTCGATGGCAGAACGGGGACTATGAAAGAACAGTAAGGGCGATTAAGGATTGACAAGAGTGGATATGCCTACCTTCCTGAGAACTAACTCAAAAACTACGGCCAATATTGAGTAAATGGAATATTCAGATGGCCATGAAAGAGAAATCAACACTTTTCACAAGTCTTTCAACACAACATGAAAGGGTATACAAATAGGATTGTTCAGTGGTTTACTATATATCGTTCGGCGCCTGTAAACAGAAATATATTGGCGAAACAGGGAGAAAAATTAGCACAAGAATCAAGGAACATCAGAGGCTCTACAGGAAAATGGATACCGAAAGATCAGAACTAGCAGGACACATCGCACCGACTGCACACGAGATCAAATGAAAGGCAACAGAAAGAATAGCCTCATATGGTGACAACACAAGGATTAGGGAGACTATTGGCATTCTTGGAGAGAAAAATCTAATGAACAAGAGATTGAAGGAAGGTAGAGTTAGCGATAACTTTGCCTACTGCCTAAGAAAACTCGAGAAAAACAAGAATAGAGCAAGACCAGCAAAAAGGAGACGCCTGGAAATTCGGCGTAATGGCCAAAATGTAATAGAAATCCACTTGAGATGCCACATGCAACCAGAGATAGGCGTCTACACTTTGCTCAGATAACATGGGTTTAATCAAGGTAGAGGACCCGTGAAGGGAAGACCTGATATCTGCAAGCATGGGAATCAGAGCTTAGGCGCTCTGCTCAGTGAAGCGGCAGTGTGCGAGCTTCTAGGGCCTTGAGAAATAGCGCCTGGAATGAAATACACAGTGGAACCGGAACCGAGTAAATCGGTTAACCAGGAAGATAGGGAACGGATCTACGAGACAATGAAGGGATCAGAATTGGTGGCCCGAGTCGGATAAGGCGATCGAAAGAGATGGGTCGGGGTAAATAGCAAGTGTTATGAGGCCACAATATATTTGCCACAAAAGGGCACACAATTTGATGATTGGAATGTAAACAAGTGAGAAGTTGTGATAGGGCGGCAGTGGGATAAGAGGGTAAAGAGTCTATGGATAGGCCAGGACCGAAAGAGGAGTGATAGTGTAATCGTTTTCGGCAGAACATTTGTCGAGGGACTGACTTCACTTGTCTATTTGACAAGTTCATAGCTTGGTGCGGAGAATGGCAAAACTCACTGATGATGCCGACTACGACGCCGGCAAAACGTTAGAGAATGTACCAAGTGTACTATCTGATGCTGGGAATAATTACAACTACTATGACCCACGACTTCGGATTAGGTGCGTTCTACTAAGTCGCCCTGACAACAAGGCCAAGTTGCGACAACGAGGTCAACCCTTTCCATATTCCCTTAAATTTATCGTTGATAGACCTACTATGAGTATAGTAGAAAAATAGTAAAAATTCGTTCATCTCTCTAACAAAGTATAACGGTGGGTGAAGGGGGAACAGAATAGAAATGGAACCTTGGATCGGGTTATTTTAAGAACAATAGTGGCAGTAAGAGTTAGTTAAGACTAGGTTAACCTTTGAAGCTTTGATGAAGATTCTTGCCTTTCATTGCTAAAGGAGACAATTCATTGTAGATTTTTATATGTTTTAAGCGAAGAATTAATCGGGGCCAAATAAGTTAGCCGTAAGCTTAGGGAGAAACATATAGAAGGGATATTCTTGTCTAGAAAGCATTTATTGTTTCCAATATAGATGCACGTCAAGGGAGGATGATATCAAAAATGGCTCGCGAGTTTACCTAACATAAATAAAAAGTCAGAGATTTTTATTTGAGTCAAACGAATTTAATTGTGAAATACTAAAAATGAGAAAAAGAATAATTCTCTCATTTTCATTCCGATCGACCAAGAAATTATGTAAATTACTGTTCAACAAATGTGTCCTACAAAAAACCACTCACTGGGGTCTGTTGAATTTGGCCCGAAGCTGGTGGCGGCACGAACCGGTTTCCGGCGGAGTTTCCAGGAGGCGTGCGATAGGGTCCTGGAACACCAAGTCCGGTGCCGTCTAGCATGACCTGAAGCGGTGAAAGAGTCGATTGGATCGTCTGGTGTCCAGGCATCTTCGAAGAGAGCGACAGCCCAGTTGCTGCCACTGAGGAGGGATGAGACACCGGAGGCTCGGTTTGGCTAGCATCAAA